TAACACAATACGCCTTCGCCCCAGTACCTAGAAACTCCCACACGATTTTCCCTGCATATTCATCTTTCATTTTACCCAGAATAGATTGGTTTACAGGTACATTATGTGGGTTATTCTGTGAGTAATTAGAAGTATCGAATTTGTCTAAATTTTCTCTAATATCATCATAAAAATTCTCAGTTTCTATATTTAAAATAAGGGAGTCAGTATCAGTATAGAGTAGGGACGCTTTATTCCCGTATTTAGGCTTGATATAGCTATACAGAAAATCATACATGATTGTCTTGGATATATCCAAAATGGCGAATCCCACGTAAATAGGCTTATCATATTTAACTCTCTGTTTAGCCATATGGATAGCTACTAAATTCTCACCAAAAATGGTAACGTCTTTAAAATGAGGCTTTGAGATCCACGCTTCTGCTCCCCGTTTTCTTCCAATATTTTCCCAATGGGTAATTAGCTTGATATCTACCCTTTTCTCCACGTTTTCCATAGTTTTACCAAACACGGCATTATTCATAAGTTTGAAAAAATCTTTTTCAAATTTATTGGAAGCAGCATTCCGTTTTGCTGTGTTTAGGTCAATGTAAATTTTGAGCCAAGGAGATTGATTGAAAGTGAGAACGCGATGAATTTTTTCCAATTTTATGCCATGACTTATAGCCTGCTGCAAATTTTGAAGATGAATAACGTATTTTTCTTTTCGATTGAAATTTGGAATAAGTTTTTTAATTTTAGAACCTTCTGGAGCAACGGATTCTGGGCAAAAGGGTAGCTCATTATGCGTATAATGCAGGTCTTCCGGGTATACTAAATCAACTTCGAATATGTAGCCAGTGCTTGAGTTTTTATCTAATTTCAAATAGTCTAAGTTTTGAATTTCTTCCGCGTCAAGCCATTTGAAGTTACCCGTCGGTAAAAATTGGCTCATGGCTGCACCATATAAGTTGGTAGCATCCAGGTACATTAAGTAAGAAGTAGGTTTGGAAGCATCGTAGTGAGGAACGAACTTATTATTTGCGACAGCTTTCCTTATACTACACTGACTGACCCCTCCGCGAATGCCGCGCTTCAGGAAGTGTATCATGTCAATATCTGTCAGTAATTCCAACTCCATAGCTGTTGTTTTAAGAGCAGCATCAAAAGATAGCCCTGGAGCCGTGTAATACTGACACGGATCTAGACTATAGGTTGATAGACACACGTCTCTAAAATTTTCAAAAACATCAGCCAGAATTAATACGTCGGATTTTAAATAAATATCTGAATATTCACCTAAAGTTTTACATTTAAACAAATTCCAAGCTTTCTGTGCACGCTCGTAATCTTTTCGCTTGATGGCTTCTTTTCTCAAATGATTGTAGAAGTCATCAATGGATGGAAGCTTGGTGTCGTCTAATTTCGAAAAAGAATCCACGTAAGAATACGGGAAGACACCCTTTTGTCGAATGACCTGAAATTCGTCTTCCGCGGGAAAATATTTTCTAACTTCTCGACATTGTTCTGGTTTTAAGTTTTGTGATAATTTATCTAAGCTTGATGCCATGAATCGAAAACTGTCGAGGAAGCGCAATTTCAAAAATACCTGTTTGTATTTACCTGCTTCATCGAGTGGGATTTTATCCACCAAAATATGTTTGGTAAATGAAATGTACCGCTCCTTATTTTGGGGGATAACATCCACTCTTTCGTTTTCTTGAGCCAATTCCTTGACAAAGAGATGGGAATCAAAATTGGACATACAATGAAAGAAGATAGGGATGAAATTTGGAATTTTAAAATTAAGGTTACATTGAGAGTGGGCTGCAGCTCGGAAATTCCCAGTGAGATGACAGTGATCCCTCACTCTTTCGTCTTCTGCTTTAAATGGTTTCTCGCAAAGATGGCAATTTTCCGCATTGCGAAACTCATCCTCTTGTTCTTGACTTAGAGGGTGCATGGGCACTATGTCTTTCATAAATCGATTATAGATTGATTTACAATCATTCTCTAACCAGTCTACGAAAACTTTGTGTGCATCAGGTCCTCTGAAAGTCTTGAAAATCGAATGAGAATCGTCAAAGTCACATTTAATGTAATAGGCGAAAGAATAAGGAACAGCCTTGTGAGTTTTGATAGTATAGGAATTTTCGGGGTCCAGCTCGGTTTCCTCTGCCTCGACAGGTTCAATGATTGTCTCGAAATCGGCGTAAACAACAAAAGGTACCTTCAATTTTTTATCGAAATTTGTGAATTTCGGGATATTCTCAGGAACCTCTTCACCGTATTTATTTTTCTTTAAATCTGTTGTCGGTAATTGCACTGAAACGTGACCACAGTCGTATTCTTGATGAGCTTTCAATTTTTGCTCAGTTGAGAAATACACCAAACATCCATCACACAAGTATTTAGCTTTTTCATGTTTAGATAATTGACTTGAAATCAAGCGAGACATGTTTCTTATTAAACAATAGTGACTATCACCAAAATCATTACTGATTAATAATAAATTCACATGTTTCGCTTTTCGAGACTGAGTAAAGTATAAGGGACCAACAATTTCAATAATATCTCTACCATTTTCATAGGCGTTATCTAATCCATAAACATTGATGGAGATATTATTGAGTTGCTCAAACTTACTAATGTCTTTAAGTTTAATTGGAAATTCCATACCTGTAAAGTCTAGCTCGTTCTCAAAAGACAGATAGTTCGCGACTCTATTTGCTGGTTTAGTTCGATCAACTGGATGTAGGTGAGCCAAGACTGACCACATGAAGCATTTTTGGTCACGATTTTGTATATTTAGGACAGCTTTCTTAGCTTCTATCGCTTTTGGTAGCGCGAGATACGAAGACGCTCTCAAGGGGTTGACCTTATTTATCGCTACATCTAAGTGTAGGAGTTGCTGCAGCGCCCAGCCTGTAATAAACATTGTCTAGTAAAAAGGACATACAAATAAAGTTCTACATACCACTTTCTTTTTCCTGGAATTCCGAACACTTTTTATCCAGGATGGCTGAAAACTGCTCGAACAGCTCCTTCAGATCTGCACCATCGCTTAACAGGCGGAATTTGGTGTTGAAGGACTTAACCTCTTCCAACTCTTTCGCCTGCAGGAGGAAGCCGCCGAAAAGCTCCACACCGACTTTAATATGACCAAATTTCAACACATTATCACCTATCAGCTTGATAAATTTTTCAAGAAGATGTCCTAAAAATTCCTTGACGCTGGTAGGGTCCTGTTTTGAAGAAAGCCGGTATGTCGCAATTCGGGCCCTAAAAGATGTTTTTACGAGCTGTACGCCTTCTTCCTGCTGGACACAGGTGTTGGCCAGGTGTTGTAGACTCCGCAGATGCCCGGCCCATCGATTGGTCGAAATCTCAAGAGCACATTCCAGACAGTGACGTGTGGATGACGTTGACGCTTTGAAAATAAAGAAAAAAAAAGAGAAGAGTTAGCAAATACTATACAAACACGAAAAAACCTTACCATTATTTTGGTCAACTCTAGCTCGTTCAACCATGGGAACACAAAAATTTTCTGCTTTACGCTTTGGGGCCCTTCTGTGTTTTTCTTTGAAATGACGTTGGAAGGCTCCCTCTGATTTGAAAATTCCCCCGCATTGACTGCAAATTTCAACCGCGGCTCTACAATCCCCATGACGCACTAAATTATCCTTTCTGGTAAACGATCTAGAGCAGTATTCACAGATAAACATTTTTCTAAAAAAGCAAATCAAACACAATAAATAATAATTGTTAACTTTCATGAAAAAATAAAAATAAAATAAAATTAAACTTACGGTTCTAGAGGTAATTCAAACCGAGAAGAAATAGAAAGATTAACTGGTATTCTCCAACCTAAGCTTCCTTTCAATATGTTTTCACGACCACCACCACCACCATCGCCATTCGAATGCTTATGTGAATACATGATGTTATAATGAAAGTGACTCCATTTAAATAATAAATAAGTTTCTAGTTTAATTCAAGTTGATTTATTTCTACAAAATGTACAACTTTCCGTTTTTAAAATCTCCTGTAAATTTTTTTTACACTTCATACAAGAAAAATCAGTATTAAGCGTCTGTTTACTCTTCAGTTTTTCATGTTTAGACACTGTCGCAAGACGATCCAAGGGATACACTGTTCTTCCACATTCTAAGCAAAGCCTTACTAAACCTTCTAGATATTCTTCTTCATAGAACACTCCACCCTCTTCGATATTTGAACATTGTTCAGGAAAATAATTTTCGTAAGTCGCGATAAATATTTTTATGAAATTTTTCAAACGGCATTGTACCTTAAAAATGAAAAAATAAATTATTGAAAATAAATTATTAAAAAAATGGTACCTTATTATAGAACATTTTAGATAGTTATTAAAATCATTTATCACTATCACTAGCACTAAATTTCTCAAACCGTCTCCTCTCTTCCTCTCTAAACTTTTTTTTGAAACTTTTGGATTTTTTGGGTGGAATACTCCTTAAAATTGGATTGGCTAATACATACTCCGTTGGATCATAAGTCGGTTCGTTTGTATCCCAGTCGAGCCAATCTTCCTTAGGAAGTGGAAGAGGTAATTCTACTACTTTTGGCGACTGCTGAAGTTTAGGAGAAGTAGAAGGAGGTTGAGAAACACTATTCAATTTACAAAAACACTAAAACGAAAAAAATATTTTCCACCTCTCCAACCATTTATTGTTCAAAATCAGTTATCACTATCACTAAATTTCCCAAACCGTCTCTTCTCTTCCCCTCTAAACTTTTTTTGAAACTGTACGTTTGTATCTCAGTCGAACCAATCCTCCTGAGTTCGGTGGTTCCTGTTGGTTAGGAGAAGTAGAAGGAGGTTGAGAAAATCTAGTTACTGCACAATAACACTAAAACGAAAAAATATTTTCAACCTTCCTACTATTTATTGGTTGAAAAATGAAATACAATTGAATTTACCTGGTCAAAATCTGTTTGAGTACTTTTATCCATTTTTAAATTTCACGAAAATTATTCAGACGGTGTATTACAAAGCCGGTAAGGTAAGTTGGAAACTTGGATAATTTTTGAATCTCTTATTCGTATTTATAAGAAAGCAAAGTCGCTTCACATTTTGAATAACGAGGAAACGTGATTCACTTTTCAATTAATTATTTTCAATTGATGATAAATGATACACGAAAATGCTATTAAACGATACATAGAGATCCTGGTTAGAAAAATTTAAAAAAATATATAATTAAGTACTTTGTAATTTGTAATTACGAAACGTGACACAAGATCACGATTTTGTTAATCAATGCAAATTGACGGTATTGTTTCAGTGCGTGTAGTAGGTATGAGTTTGTATAAATAGGGTTTCTTTGAGTTAAAAACACAAGTTCTGTTTTCTGCGAGCAGCGGTGCGTTTGTGGAAAAAAAAAATAGACAGGTAGACATTTTTTATTATTATTATTCTTATTTTTTTTTTTTTTTTTTTTTTTTTTTTTTTTTTTTTTTTTTTCACATTATTCTTTTTCATGTATTCTTTTTCAGATTAGCTATGTCGATTGCGGAAATTAATGATAAATATAGTTTCAAAGAATGTAATAAGAAAGAAGAGTTAGAAATTGGCAAACCGTACAAAATCATTAATATTAGTAAAATGGATACAAAATTTGGGCCTTCAATTTTGGTTGCATTGGAAGATGGAAAGTCCATTTTTCTACCCAAGAGATATGATTTTACTCAAGAGGAAATTAAAAAATTGACTAATGGTTGCTCCGCCCTAATTTACAGAGGTGAAAAAAATGTTGGGAAACCTTTACCAGCTGCAGTTTTCGAATTTGCAGAATGGACTATGTGAGTGTTTTTTATGTAAGTAAATTTAACCTAACTGCGAAAAAATTATACTTACCACTTTTTTGGTTTTTAGAACCAGTCATGAAATTTATCCAACGGATCTATACACAGCCTTTCCAGATCATACACATTTTTGTTATACTTGTCAAAAATGTTTTTGCTTTTGCGAAAATTCAATTAAAAAGCATACCTACATTAGAAGAAACGAACATAATCTACTCTGTCATGAACAAATGTTCGAGTCACCATAGAATTACTGTGTTTTATTTTCTTTGCGTTTAAATAAAATTTTACCGAAAAATTGTTGTTTCATTGAACTTCATCACCTGAGCCTGGGAACTTTGGCAACTGAACCTATACAGGTATCCGGACCTAGATGGCGCCTCATACGGCAGGTAGTGAGTGTACAATAGCCCCCGGGGGTATTATAGGCAACTGAACCTATAGATGGCGCATGCAGGCATGCTAGAAGCTCCTCCGGAGGACGGAGGTTGCAGAACCGGCCATTTATATCTACTTATGTCGGCTACATCAACAGCGATACAAGATTTTTTTTTCCCCCGAAGCAGGTAAATTCGACTTTACTTCAAATGGAACTTTGAATGAATTACAAAACACCTTTTTGAAATAGGTTCTCAATTTTTATTTGCCCAGAGATTGTGAGTATCATATAGCTATTTATAACACAAGTCCAAAAAATACATTTTTTGGACGCTTGTTACATTTACAAATAGAGGCAGAGCATTTTACAAATTGAATAATCAACGAGGGAAAAAGTTGCCAATTCTTACGAGCAAAATAATGAATTTTGGTCCAATATAAGCCTCAAGAAAAACAGTTAGTTTATTATTCCAAAACTTCGATGCACCTTTATGATTATTAGACAAGTATTCTATTCACGAAAATATTAAAATAAGATAAGGGACAAGAGTTTTCCAATAGTCTATATTGTTCTAATCATAATGAGAAATTAATTTTTGTATTGAATTGGCGTTTATTTGGTGGAAATTCATAATATAATAAAAGATTTTTGATTATATGTATGTACTTATATATTTCCACTAATTTAGTTAATAAAATTCAACATGTTTCGCTAACACTGTAGCTTCATCAGAAATGATGGTAAGTATTTTCCGCGTGTTGCTAAATTCACCAAAATGGTGCACCGCCATTGATGCGTTGATCAAAATTTACTAATGTCAATGCCAAACCACTGCTTGGCAAACCCTGGTTAATTTAACAACACTGCTTGTTCTACCATTCCACCACGGTGCCTACACAAGCTGACTTTAGCCACATGCGGTTTATGTTAGACATAAAAGTGAAATTGTCAAGATAAAAGCTGGTCTTATTTTATGTAAATCTACATAGGTAAAAGATAAATAAATTTAAGACCAATTAGATTTAAACAATTCACTTGAATTTATTTATGTAATACCTATGTAATAGTATATTACATGCGGACGTGGAAAGTGTTTCATTATTGTCGAGAGATAATATGGTTGACCGAGGTGCGAAGCGCCGAGGTTAACCAATTCTCGAGACAATAATATGAAAACTTACCACCGAATTATGTATACTATTTTATTTTGAACCATTAATTATTGAATAAAATAAGGTAAAAATATGGCAAAAATGGAATTTTGACTGACAATCTGATACCGGCATTGATATCTTAGGAAATTTCAACAATATAAACACATGTGACATCTACTTCTAAATACAAATATTGCCCCTGGATTTGAGTTAAGGTGTGAAAGGACAATTTATCGGGGCCGAAAGTGAGTTATACAGGCCGAAAGTGACAGAAGGACAGTCACTTTTGGCCTGCTTTAAAGTAAACAAAAGTAGAGTGACATTTTCGAACCTTTAAACCAGTAAGGAATGTGAAAATTACATATATGGTTTAATTTAAAATCTATGTTTTCCCCAAGATGGATTTTGACATTGAAAACTTTGAAACATCAACAATATTGCTTGGCCCTGATTGATCGCAAAATGCCGTGTCCCTGTAGGTTAGAGTCAGTTCTACAATGCATGTCGTGCAAATGGCATGTTGCAGGCAATAAGCGGCATTGTTTATGGTTCAAAGTAGACAGTGTCAAAATCTATCTTGGGAAAAAATACAGTATAGATTAACATAAAATAAGACCAGCTTTTACCTTTTTTATTTTTGGCAATTTCACTTTTATGTCTAACCTAAAATAAAGTCTGTTTTTTTTTTAACGATAAAAGTCAAAATTATGTTGGCAATACAATGTAAAATTGTCAATGCTTTTAATTTTTTTTATGTAGAAAAGACTTGTGTTGCCAACATAAATACTAAGTTTTTGGGAATTGGCAGGGCGCAAGGACCATTGACACTTAAGAAACCAGACGGCAGTTACACAGAAAATGAAGAGCAACGAGCTGCTCTACAACTGGAAACCCATTTTCCAGGAAGCATACCCAATGGTACTGAAAAAAACAAAGAACGGCACAGAAAAACCAGGCAAGAAAACTGGGAGGTTGCCAAGAACCTTTGCACTCCGCAGCGGCTGGCTTGGGCGATCGACTCATTTCAATCGTTCAAATCACCTGGAGTAGACGGCATTTTTCCAGCCCTGTTGCAAAAAGGGCAAAATGAAATTATGCCGTATCTAATCAAACTCATTAGATACAGCCTTGTGACCGGATACATACCCAGTCAATGGAGAAGAGCTAAAGTAACTTTCATCCCAAAGGCAGGGAGAAAGGATGCCACTCTACCGAAGTCGTTCAGACCTATATGTCTCACGTCGTTCTTGCTGAAGACAGTTGAGAAAGTTGTAAATAACTATATCAGAACAAATGTTCTAGAAACGACGCCACTACACCCTCGGCAACATGCTTACAGAGCGGGCAGATCAACAGAAACCGCTCTATTTAAACTCACTGACAGCATCCAAAACACACTGCTGAATAAAGAAGTAGCCATCTGCTCCTTCTTAGACATAGAGGGGGCCTTCGATAACACCTCTCATGAGTCAATAAAGAATGCGCTTGTCAGAAAAGGAGTGGACAAAATCACATCCACCTGGATGTGTGAAACGTTAGCCACCAGAACTGCAGAAACGGATGTGGGGGAACAAACCATACAAGTCACCACAAAGAGAGGATGTCCACAGGGAGGGGTACTCTCACCCTTGATGTGGAGTCTAGTAGTCGATGATCTACTAAATACACTGACAGACCAGGGCTTCAACTGCCTTGGTTACGCCGATGATATTGTCATCATAGCCAGAGGCAAACACGAATGAACACTCTGTGACCTTATAGAAAAAGCACTCCGAACCACGAAGGAATGGTGTCAGACTGTGGGACTGAGTCTTAACTCATCAAAAACCACACTGGTAACATTTACAAAAAGAAGGAAAATCCCAGATCTGAGGAACATTCGCCTCGATGGAAGCAGGCTTCACTGGAAACAAGAAGTTAAATTCCTAGGAATAACCCTAGACTCTAAACTCCTTTGGAACCGACACATAGAGAACATAACAAACAAAGCAATTTCGGCACTCATGGTATGTAAAAACATTGCGGGCAAAACGTGGGGTTGTAACCCATCGATCTTACGATGGATGTATACCATGATAGTGAGACCTATCATCACCTATGGAGCGGTAGCCTGGTACAGCCGAACCCAGCTAGTAACAGCTAGGAAAACCCTAGGAAAGGTACAAAGACTCGCATGTCTATGCATAACAGGAGCAATGAGAACATGCCCAACCGCGGCAATGGAAGTCATCCTAGACCTAACACCACTTCACACAACAGTGAAGCGGGTTGCCAGTGAATCATATCTAAGACTGGCGAAGATAAGTCTACAAGGGAAAACGCACTTTGGCAGAGCTTTCCCTCTCCCAAATTGTGCACACCTCATGGACTTACCAAAAGACGCGATTGTTGATAAATTCAGTTTCGAGAAAAACTTTTCCATCGAACTAAGTACAAAGAACAGATGGAACATAGAATGTATCCAGTCCCTTAAAGCAAACACCATCAAATGGTACACAGACGGCTCCAAAACTGCTGAGGGGACAGGAGCCGGAATATTCGGGCCACGAACCAGATACTCGGAGCCAATGGGCAAATCAACAAGCATATTCCAAGCCGAACTTCATGCGATAGGAAAATGCGTGCAGTTCAACCTGAACAGAAGGTACCGAAAACGAGAAATTGTAATAATATCTGACAGCCAAGCAGCTATCAAAGCATTGAGCTCGCCAATAATCAATTCTAAGATAGTATGGGAATGTCTACAGAAACTCAATGAGCTGGGGAAGGAAAACAAAGTAACCCTACTATATGTTCCTGGACACATAGGAGTCGAGGGCAATGAATGCGCAGACGAACTTGCAAAAACGGGAGCGGTCACTCCCTTCACTGGGCCAGAACCATTCTGCGGCGTCGGAAATGCGCACCTCCAAGAAATCCTTAAAAAGGAAGGGAACCGGCTAAGGAACAAACAATGGCTAGACCAACCAGGACTACGACAGGCCAAAGATCTATTGGGCAGCTACAACTAAAAAAGATCGGAACTGCTGGTCAACCTTAGCAAGAAAAGTCTCAAAACTCTAACCGGGTTTCTCTCGGGACATTGCAGACTGAATAAGCACCTACATAATCTGGGGTTGGAAGAAGGTAACACTTGCAGATTCTGTGAAGACGGTGAAGAAACACCTCACCATCTTCTACTGAACTGCGATGCCGTAAGCCGCTCAAGAATGAAGAACTTGGAAGTCCCCTTATACAGCTGGAAGACATTCCAGCCCTGGAACCGCTAGACATCCTAAAATTCCTAAAGGACCTAGGACTAGAGGGGCTGCTTTAAGCAGGAATCCCGAACTTAGCAGCAGAAGGAGGGGTACAATAGATCATCCTTGGTCGCAGTGCATCTGACACCTCCAACACACACATACACATACACATACAACTCGCGTGATGTATACAAAATTTTATCCCATTTTGCTGGACATTTAAAAAATAAAGTGATATGAATCTTATTATAAAGAATTTATTTAGTATAGCATATGAAAGCGCTTATATCTAATATTAAAATTGATGGTTGCTAGGGTTTAACTACAAAACATGGCCTCACCAGAATGTGTGGAAAATTAACACATTATTTTTTAGCGAAACTTACACCAATAGGTTTTCATTTAAAATAGAAATTGTGTAAGCGGCTTAATTTTTTCGAGTTTTCCTCGTCCACTTTTCTGCAAACTTCCACAACAATTGTGTTACATTTACACAATTTTTAGTTAATACGCACTAAAAAATGTCTCAATAATTATTAATTTTTCTACCCACAGTTGCGTTGTTCTTTTTTCATTTTTGTGCTTTATTGGCATTAAAATTAATCAATTCAGAGTTACTTTTAACAAAATATAGTGATTGCTTTAATCGCATTTCCGTGAAATTATACTAAGTTTCGACGTATATTTGCTGGATTTAGAATTGAATATAAATTAACTGTTACCATGAAATGTACGTACAT